TACAGTAGAAGGAAATCTCTCCATTCTTCAAAAGTGATAATTCCATTATTATCCTTGTCAACATGCTCCACAAAATGGGCAAGCTCCACATCATCAATTTCAATCCCTGCAACATACAAACTGCCAGAGCTTATAAGATGAAACAACTATTTAATTGAAACTATGTGCTACAAATCTGTCTACCTGGAGCATTTATAAGAAATGAATCACATTGCACACAGTCTTAAGTATTTTCATTGCTTACAGAGAGAACATACCAAATACCAGAGATTATACCAAGAAAGCTATAGTAATGTAGAATCAATCAATAGCTTCTAACTCTATGAAATCAACAAAATTAAAAGAAGCTAATATCTTAAGCTAAAGAAAACTCCTTTGTGATATGAAGTTACAAATCCTCTCAGATTCCACAGTCAGTTAGTATCAGAAAAATTTCACACAAAGGCTTTTCATAAGCTTCTGTTGGAGATCCTCAATAACACCTAAGCATACTCTATTTCAAATCTCTTCAGAAATTTGAGCATGAATACACATACATCCATTGATGAAGGAAGCAGCAAGATTGCACATTTTAACAGAAGTTTGCTATGAAGCAAGATAATAAATATGCCTAGTCCCACATTATCTGGTCTGCAGGTGGTTGGAATCTGCAAGCCAAAAGAGAGGAAGCAGGCTCTACTGAACATATCTTATCATGTGATTAGTCTCCACTTCACAAACTTATGTTGCTTGGCTGCAGACATATTGCACAACGTTATGCACTCTCAAATGGTCAACAACCCATTTTCCCTTCAGTCATTATTTCATTTACATAGAGCCAAACAGGATTCAATTTTATAGTCATCAAGCAACTATCCAAAAAATGATTCGATTTTACAGTTATCAAGCAACTATCCCTTCAGAGAAGGATCCAAGTTTTAGGTATTCAAACAATTATCACAATCACGAAGAGCAAATAATATTCACAAGATTAGATATTGATCACAGGTTTGCAAGAAAAAGCAGCCAGACACGGAGGATAGGACTAAAAGCCAATTCCATCCAACATTCAGAGACGCCATGCCCTCAAACAAAACTCCCAAAAAACCATAACCAGATCCAACCATAAGATATTATTTAGCTAATGAAAACTCAATTCAATTGCGTCCTAAACCAGATCAGGACATGCCAATCCCCCTACAAACACCATCAAACAAGACTGCAAGAGGCAAATTCCTTTACAATCTAAGCTGCAGCCTCTTATTTAACAGCCTACAAGAGTAGTTAAAAGATATTATGTTTACAATAGAAGCTATTAACAGGTGCTTCTATTGGAAATGAATTTTAAAATTCAAAAATAAAATGCAATTATTCAAATAGTAAGCATATGATCAACCTATCAGGTTCACCTACATCACAAACCAATCAAACAAATGAAAAGAAAATATCAATAACAAAATCATGAAAAGCATGGTATACCAGCCTTAACCAGCGCATCCCAAAGCTCCTCAGGCAAAATGCATCCGTTATGCTCCACATCAATGGCTTGAAAAATCCTATAAAGCTCAAGTTCCTTGACATCCATGTACCTCTTAAATTCTTGATAATCCACACGCCCATCTCTGTTAGCATCACAAACTTTAAACAGATCCTTGGCATACTTGTACTCTGCCGGAATCTGTAAGGCAGACAGACCCTTTTCAATCTGGGCATAATCCAAAAACCCAACATTTGCTGCATCAAAGAAATCGAACAAACTCCTGATCCTCATATCCCTCTCTTCCTTGGTCTCACACAATGCCAATAGAACATGATCCATGGTAACCGGTCCCGATTTCTTGACGGGATTACAACATCCGGGTTTGGACTTTGCCTCCATCTTGGGCAAGCAAACATGCTCCACAGCCTGCCCTGCAGCCCCGGACATAACAACAACGATCACAAGACAACAACCTTAAAAAATTTTACCTTATTTTCTGCAAACAACACCTTCTAGGGTTGTTCTACAAAAGCAAGGAGAGAGATCTATTGTCAGTATTGAACCAGAACCCAAAAATATAAAAAGCTCTTTTTTATTCTTTCTCCAAGGACGACCGGTATCCCCAGAAAGAATTAAAAAATGGGATCAGATATTTGACTCGAATAACTTTAAATTGAGGACAAAGATGCAGACTTTTCTTCATCGGAGTGAGTCAAAAGAGGGAAAAAATGAGTCAAATTTCCAAAGGAACAGGAACCCACAATGAAATTGACGCAACTTCCTTTCATGGGTCGATTTGATTTCCCAGGAAACAAGCAATCAAATCAATCAAGAATGTTGCACCATACCGACCCCGATTGAAACGGTAAGTTTTCCAAAACCTGGCTTCGTATACGCGTCGGGAAAAATGTTGACGTGCAAGATCACCGAAGTGGGGGTAGGAAATGAGATGGCATCATGAATTGGCCCCTAAACTCTAGACCCTCCATTGGTTTTTGGAGAAACACCCCGGAACTAGAACGAGGAAAGTGGCTTGAGAACTGAAAAAAATGGAATTCTCTTTGATTGGTTGGTTTCTGGGGAAAATTTTATTTTTTCCCCCTCTCTACTTTGTTAAGTGCATTTAAACCCTGAAATTGTATAAATTTGCAAAAACCTATATAACTTGAGGGATGGCCACTTATCATCTTCAATCCAAGTTAATAATGACGTTGAAGATATCAAAAATACTCTTATATACACAAAAATATAAAAATATTTTACAGTGTGAACCATATTAGATAATAAAAAACTTTTTAATAATAAATGTAAAAAATAAAGAATATCTGCCAACCTAATGATCCAACAGTTTAATATAAGTTTTTTTTACCATGGTAAGGGTTCGATATCCTTTCCCATCCCTCTCCCCCCTCCCTTGCCCCACTTGCTCTAATAAAAATAATAATAAATGTAAATAATAAATTACTAGACTCTAAATACTAATTATAGTTGCAAATTATAAACTTCTAGACTTTAAATATAATAAAGGAGAAGATAAGAGAAAAAATAATAAGATTAGTTTTTACTTGGTATTTTATTGCTTAAGATTTAAATGGCCATTTTTCAAATTAAACGGGGTCAGTTGCATGTTTTTTAAATCAAATGGGATTAAGTATACATTTGTCTATAATATGGGATTTAATTGCAGTTAACCCAAATTACTTGGAAGTAAGTCAAATTTAGCCTAATTAGTTTTCTTTAGTGACGTTAATTTTGGGGCATGAGCACCGAACTGGTGTTTGTAGTATGAGCTGCGCCACTGTTGCTGCCTTGGACTGGATATTCCTAAATTCAATCATGAATTTTTTTAGTCCCTGTTTTATCATTTAAATGGTCTTAAATTACAAAATAAGAATGGTAACCAAACAACAATATAAAGAGGTTTGCTTGCTATTTAATTATTTAAATTATTTAATTTAAACTGTATAATATTTTTTTAATTTTCTTTATCCTAAATATAAATTAAATTTTCTTTCTTAGATTAATACATAATTTGCTGATAAGCAATCCTTGTTTTAGATGTAGTAACAAGTTTGAGTTCTAGCAGCAACAGCTAAACAAATTTATTTATATTATTAAATGCAATACGCCAGTAAATAAATATAAGAAGTGCATTCTTAAAATTTCATGAACTAGAAAGATCACTCTTGAAAATCAGCACAAGCTAGGCACAAGCTAACCACAGAACACATAGGTTAATATGTAATTTTTACACTAAATTAAATTTATTTATTTGATTTTGATCCAAGGTGGATCTTGATGGCGCCTATTGATCTGCACTACAAGGTAGAAGAGCCCCATAGTACCTCTATGGCTCTATGGTTGCTGGCACTATTGGTATTGTATCTAGACTCCACAAGCACTCCCAACTTTATCATATACAATTAGATACTGTACATGACTTTGATAATAAAGCTCAAAATTTATTGGGATCCCTTTATTTGCTGCCTGGATATCACTGATGTCTGATCCATTGATTACAAAACTAATTACTCATGAGAGAATGTTTGTTTAGTTTAGAACACAATTGGCTGGTATCCATCTTCTCTCTTGCGTTTAAGTCGATTATGGATCTTTATACCAGCAACTATTGCCACCACAGCTATCAAAACTACTGCTGCAAAAAGGTAACTTGATGGCACACCATTCGCCTGCATCCATGTCAAACAAATAAAGATTTGGAGGTTGTCAATCGAAAGGAGATACAGGCTTAGAGGTACAATGTAACTTGTCAACAAAAAAAACAGCCTCATTGTTATTGTCATCGATATAATGCTTGTCCCTGGACAAACCAATGTTGATTATACATTAAATCATCTTAAAATCCATTTTTGTCTAAAACATTAAGGAATGTGCTAATAAACTCTACTCCATCTAGATGAAATTTCATCAATAGTCACGTCATCATAGGGGAATTGAATGAAATCTTACTTGAACGAGAGAATGCAAGGTGGATGCTGATTGTGGCAATTCGTCTGCAACCAGAATGTAGAAGAGCCCCATTACGCCTGTATGATTTATGGCACTACTGTACCTAGACTCCACAATCAGAGTCTCTCCATCACTTATCTTGACAGAACCTGGTTGAGGATAGCAGGTCGACATGCCCACCAGGTAACCAGCCTCATTTCCAGCTTCTTTCCCATCTCCATAAATTGGTATCGAAGAACAGATATCTTGGCCACCCTGAGTTTATCATACATTCCACGCCAACTTATCAGAACACATCGTTACAACAAACTTCACATGGTAATCAACCTAATATTTTGACTTCTATAGAATGAAAGAAACGTGGAATCAAACCAGAAGCAAAGGTAACAATGAAAGATTCACACATCAGATACAAGACGAGAGAGCATAAGAAAAACATCAATATATCATAAGGCAACCGTAAGCCCAGGTAAATTATCAAGGTTGCATGATTTGTCTTAAGTTGGGTTGGGAAGCTAGCAATCCCAGACTGAACAATAAATTTATGCTATACGATATAAACTTTAAAATCAGTGGTCCTGGTGGATAAACCTTTCTGTTCTAAAAGGAAACAGAAAGAGTTTGTGTTGAAGTAATATAATGAGTTGTCAAGGCCATACAGCCTTCTAGAGGTATAAGTGAACTTGAGAGGAAGATAATTCCTGTAACATATCAGTGATATGACATGAAACTAATAGTTAAGCAGAAAATAATCTAAGATGAAGATAAAAGGACTATTAGTTTTAACTTGCCACAGGAAATTATTTGTGACCATGAACATGCAAATCAGGGAGGGGAGCAAAGAAGACGAAAGTGAAAGAAAAAGAAAAGGGGAAAGACAGCATGTTACAGAAAGTTAGAAGAGCAATGTTAATATTACCTCTCTGTATAGAGTAGAACCAATGCCCCCTGCATGCTGGTGTGCAACACCATAAATAAGATTACCACCTGTTGGCAGGGCAAGAGTTGCCCTTTTGTTGTGAATGCACCCCTCATCAGCATCGCAAGTCTTTACATCATATTCCACCTGTCTCAAAGATATTCCACTGATTATGATATTTCAAATAACAATTTTGTTTTAAGTATTTACACAGCTCAAAAAATAGGAAGATAAAAAAACCAGGGTCAACCTACCTGGCAATGATGCTCTGGTTTAGACCTTGTCCAAGTATCAGTGACATCAAATATATATATTTTCACAGGCAAGATAGAACTATCCCAATCAACCCATTTCACTGTATATCTGAGGTAGAGGCTCCTCCTTGCACCCTCAAACCCTTTTCTTACCCTGCATTGTGTTTTATCATAGCAACAATGCAAACCCCCTACATAGTCTGGTCTTAAAGGTCTGCCATATTCATCCTCTGCAACATTATATAGATCGCACCTGCATTCAATGCATCCCAACTTATCTTCTGCACCCCTTGTATCAATTGCATGGACATTAAGCATCCATTGCTCCTCATAACCATCAGGAATCTCAGCAGGATTACCAACTTCTATTCCATAAGGATCTGGAACATGTGTTTCTGTTTTTCTTGTCTCAGATCCAAGGCCAAAATACTGTCCAAGAGAATGGTTCTGACAAATTCCACTGTTTCGCACAAACATATAATCTGACTTGGAAAGTTTTTCGTTTCCATTATCTTCTAAAACTCTCACATCTCTTCTTTGTCTGTAATACCTTGCAACAACCCAGTGATGGAGATAGGTTTCGTGAAGGGGAATGGGATTTCCCAACTCATCAATAACTTCTGCATTAAAACTCTTGAGAGCAATATGACCTCTTGGAAAATCAATATTGTAATAATATCCATCTACCACTGATCCTGGTCCCAGCACAAACTTAGGTGACAGGAAAACAGCAGTTTTGACCTTATTTTCATTTCTCCAAAAGGCTTGTGAGTATGGTAAGCTTTGTGCCAGCAGAGTTGCTGCTAGCAAAAACAACCATCCTTGATAACAGCTCTTCATTTCTGCAATTATCTCAGAACCTTAAGTTGAACCCTACTATCTCTTCTAAGTAAAATATATATGCCAACTATCTTGAGTATACAGAGAATTTCAAACCATAAAACTGTACGGAAAATTCCTACCATATGGTTGCATTTAAACTGTTTATGATGTTATTGTCTCTTTACAATGACAAAATACACTAGTGACTGACCACTTCCTAACAACTTTAGCCAAACCCCAAGTGATTCCTCAAGAATAGAGAGATGGCTTTCAGAATCGTATTTACTTTCTTTTCTTTCTTTTGGCCACCAAATTAACTTCCATGCTTTATGCATCAATTATTATTTATTACTCTTGAGACAATCCTCAAGAGTTAAGAATAAATGTTTGCAAGCATCCAGAACTTTGTTGAACAATCTTTAGTTCTTTAGACAATTTAATAGCTAATTCATCTTGATCATTCCAGCAGCAGCTCCATATAAAAACGAAAATTTATGACACATCCCATAAAAAAATTGAATACTTATCATCTCTACTTTAATAGTATGTTTAGGTTGAGGGAACATAGAGGAAGGAAAAAAAAATTTTCTATTTGGTTATTAAAATATTTGGAGGGGAATGGGGAAAAATTCCCTTCACTTTTATTTTTACTTTTAATTTAGTTACGTATCGAAATAGCTGAATACCCTCTATTATCCTCAACCAAACACAGGGTAAATCATCTAAAGAACTGTAAAACACACACTATCCCTCCTAAATCTCCACAGAATGCAAGACGTAGAACACAGACATCAACTGAAATTAAACGGTACGGATGTAATTGGGAATTTTGTTCCCAAGACTATTCCTATTAGCTAATTTATTATCTCTCCCTTTTACCCAAAAAAAAAAAAAAGTCCTTCACTGATTGGCCTAATGGCCATCCCCTTAGTGGGCGGTGTATTGGACATCAAAGTCCTGGTTCTATCCCAGGCACTCACTCCCCCACCCCCACGTTTCCCCCAGTTGAAAAAAAAAAAAAAAAAAAAAAAACTGAAATCAAATGGGGTCATGAAGAATTTTTTTACCCCCTAATTAAATACAAACACAAGGTACTAATATATTTCATCTATCTACAAAGGAACATCATGGAAAACACAGACAAACCCATGAATGGAATTACCCAGAAAAGAATGGAACTAAAGCTGATAACTTTAAATCAGAAACGACTTACTGTTACTCAGAGCAAGCTCGGAATCACACGACTTCAGGAACTGAAACTCCAAGCGAAAAGTACATGAATTATGGGGTTGAAGAAGAAAGTCGAAAATGCAATATTTCCCAAAACTGGACAAAGTGTTTATACAATAGCAGCCAAAATGGAAGGAGGAGGTGATGTGCCACGTGTCCCTGGATGAACGCAAGCGCTTACGTCACACCAGTGGACAAATTCCGGGAACCTGGAAACCGTCAAAAGATGAAGATGAAACCTAAGCCGTGACGCTCCAGTAATAAATTTTTGAGAGGAAATTGACGGGAACGGTGATATTTCGCCGGAGATTGGATTGCTGAGGTGGAATGGAAAACGAAATACTCATGTTAAATGGGGTTGGCGTTTTGGTCGGGATAAACTCTTAATTTGGTTTCTTAATTATTATACAGATTTTTAAATTGTTCATTGTGCTTTTCGATTTAGTTTTGATTTAATTTTTAAAGTTTTTAAATTTAATATTAAATTTATATTTTTTAAAATAACAATTAACATATTTATTATGTGATAGTTGATAGGAATGTTATTTAATAATAAAAAATTATTATTTAATAATTATGTGTAAGGTTAATAATAATATGTATCAATTATTTTTTAATAAAACATTTATTTGAAACTAAGTCTAAAAATTTTAAAAATTAAATTAAAAATTTTTTTAGGTTAGGAATCAATTATTCAAGAGTTTAGACAATACTTAAGGAGTAAGTTAAAGGTTTGCCCTTTTGATTTTGAAGGTACGGGGCCAGTTGCCGGCTGTAATTGGCTACCGTCCAAGATGATCATGACGAGATGATCTGTAGTTTTCCGACCATTTTTTTGTTTTATCTATAGGCAATTGGCACATGACAGAATTCATTTTTTTGGAGTTAATTATTGCATGTGGCAGACTTTGGGTTGGGACGACCATCTTCTTAAAGTTATTGTCTCGTTGCTCTTAAAAATCAGAGATGTCGGCGTACTTCTTTAGGATTCTCTTATTTTGCCGTTTAGAATTCGCCAGAATATAACTAGATTACAAAAGTGGAGATGGTTAAATGGCTTTTTGGTTTGTTTATAAATAAAATTTTACTTTGATTATTGAAAAAAAAAATTACTTTAATTAAAAAAATCAAAATAATATTGACATTGAATAGGAACATACCCTAAATATGGGCAAGTCCTCTAATCCTTGGTTTTGATTTTGCAGCAAAGAACATTTCATTTTATAAGTTATTCAACAGACCCATTACAGGCATAATTTTAGGGGTTGTTTGGCATTAAATTTTTTTTTTAGAGGATGTTTGGTATTAGTAAAATGTTCAAAATCTTTGTTCCATTAGTTTGAAATGTTTTAAAGAAAAAGTTTATTTTTCAGTAATTTTAATAGGTAAATTGTACTCTCAACCGTGCAATTTAACTTGAAAAATTACTTTTTTACTTCTATCGTCTTTAATGGTCACCGCCATTACATTGTGTATGTATGTGTATATTTAAAAAAATTAAAGAAAACAATACAAGAATTAGTGTGAAATAAAAAGACGAAAAAAAGGTAAAATGACCTTGGAGAATTTGTTATTCTTCTTTATTCTTCCATATCTTTCCCATGCAATAATAAACCCTATATGTAAGGTAGTAGAGTGATAGATGTTATAAGAGTTACAATATAAAAATTATAAGAGTTACAATACAAAAATTAATCACCTACTAAATAAGAATAAATTATCATGTAAATGCATTAAATTATAAGGTGTTAAATCACCATTGCAATTATATGAAGATAGTGAAAATTACATTTTTACTTAGTATATAAATGTCATGAAAAGTAGGAAGATAGAAAATGAGGAAGGTAAAATATTCATAAACCAATTAATTCATAATATTTTTATTTTTATTAATACTATATGAATTATTTTGAATTTATGATTATAATGTTTTGAAGTCAATTTTTACACACCTTAAGACTTGATATTAGCTAAATACTTACCATACTCCTGACAGCTCTTTAATAACCTATATCCCTCATGGGATAACTGAACTAAATAAGTTTTGATAGTTAGTTTGATCTAATTTAAAAAAAACTCTCACGAAATATCTAATAGAGTTATGTATCTACTGAACCCCTAGATTCCTAGTTGATAAGCGATCTTGGTCAAAACCTATGTAGCTGAAAGTTACTCCAAACGAATAAGCTACAACACCGATTTAGCTACTGAGGTTAAGTAAAACACAAAGTACAAAGAATAAGAATTCATATTGTGTTAAGTAGTATAAACTTAGAGCATTGCCTGAGCCAATTGCAGAATGTGAAAATATGTTGATCTCAACTCTCTTTGTCTTATACTCATGTGTCTTGTTTGTATGGGATGCCACATATGTTGTTTGTATTCTTTTGACAAGTAAATAATTTATAATATATGAAATCTGATAAATATGCTTATTATGTGATAAATTAAGAAAATAACTATAAAAAAACCTCTTCACTCCATTAAAAGTAATTCTTTTATGCCCTTCTTACCTTCTATCCTTGCTTCTCCCTTCCTTCACCATCACTAGACCTTACCTGACTTAAATATCGAAGGATGTATGCCGGAGACAGCTCTAACACCTACCTTAATGAGTTCTTCCTTTTTCACACACTGATAATGTAAGTGCTTGAAAACTTTATCCAGCTATTCTAGGTAGGAAAATCAAGAATATCGAGACTAATCTATCAATAGCGTTTTTAGGCGTGCTCCGGTTGGGGTTTTTTTTTTTAATCATTACTGTAACTTTTTAAAGGCTTAAAAATTGGAAATTGGACATAAAATTCAGCTCTTAACATTTTGACCGAAAGCAAGGGAGCTTGGGCCTAGGTTCCTCGAGGGGGCTTGGGCCTAGGTTGGTTCGCCAATACTTTCTTTGTGAATTGTGATTCAGTTTCTGCCATAGATTCACTGCCTCTTCCGTTCTCCCTCTAAGTCTTCACAGTATCATCGATTTCAAGTTTTCAATCCAAAAGATAAAGCAGCTGCAGGGAGATGACACGGAAAAAGGAAAAAGCAAAGGAAAGAAGAGAGAAGAGACTACAGGAGATTTCCCTTCTTAGGACCATTCCTTATTCCGATCATCAAAGGTTCACCCTTTTTCCATTTTCTTGTTTGATTTCTTAAAATTTTCGTTCTTGGTCGATTTTAGTTTATACCCATCTTATTAACATTTTTTCAATGATGAATTTGATATTTAATAACTATAATTCTCTTGATTTAGCCTTAAGGGGACATTGTTTTCCTGATAAAGTTTGTTACTTTGTTTACTGTCTATCTTGCTGAAGTTTATCAATGCTGATGCATTTAGATTGTGAAGGGTCCTCTCCTTCTTTTATGAACAATTTTCCCCTATCACATGGGTTTCTTTTCTTCTTCTTTTTTGGCCAAATTTATCATCTGGTTTTATTATTTCAAATTGTATGACAGACTGTGAACAATTGATATGGATCATAACTAGTCTTTCAAAAGGAATGGAAAAGTCTAGACTTTCACTGGATTTTTGTCTCACCATATGCATTTGGTGTTTGTAATGTTTTTGAAGTATATAGAGAAGAGGTGGGAAGTTGGACCTTGAAGATTTCGTATAAAATTCTATGGAAATATATGGTTAGTGCATGTAGTTAATTAAGGAACATGCCACTAGATACATGTTTGTCTTTTAGCTTGTTAAATTTTTCAGTATGCTCATTTTTCATTCAGATAAGATTTCACTTTGTCTTTGTAGGTGGTGGTCTCAAGAAACTATTGCTGTGGTAACTGGTGCTAATAGAGGAATTGGGTTTGAGATTGCAAGGCAACTAGCAGGGCATGGATTGACAGTGATACTAACATCAAGGAACACCAGCGTTGGCATTGAGGCATCCAAGGTCTTACAAGAAGGAGGTTTTAATGTTGATGTTCATCAATTGGATATCTTGGATTCTGAATCTATCTCACGGTTTGCTGAGTGGGTACAAGAAAAATACGGGAACATAGATATCCTGGTAAGAGAAAAAAGTTGACATGGATTGTATTCCTGATTAGTTTTATAATGCATTAACTTATTTACCTTTGGTTGTTGCTATGTCCAACCTATTGCATTGCTTTTGATGTTTTTTATTCAAACTTATATTTTGCAGGTGAATAATGCAGGTGTTAATTACAATCTTGGGGCTGATAATTCTGTTGAATTTGCCAAACAAACAATTGATACCAACTATTATGGCACGAAAAACATGATTAAAGCAATGATACCTTTGATGAGATCTTCTGCTATTGGTGCTCGGATTGTTAATGTGAGCTCAAGGCTAGGTAAACTTAACGGCCGAAGAAATGTAAGTTAATCACTCTTTTTCTTCTCAACAAGCATGATGACATTAACTCTTTTTCCATAATCTTTTCATCTCATTTCCATCTCCTTCAGAATTGAAATATATGCTTTAGTGATCTAGGCATAGTTATCTATGGATTCTCTGTGCAAAAGACTTGTGGATCTACTCCTTTCTTGATTTGATTCATGGTCTAATCTTAACATGGAAATTAGGATGAAATGCATGGATGCATATTTTTTGCCATCTCAGTGGTGGCTTCTCAGTACAGTAGTTTTTAACTTGAACTTGTCACCTGGGAGGAATGGTGTGTTCGAATACTTGTCACCTGCTCGCTGCAATTTTATTTTTAATTATCATGGAAGATTCTTTTGATATTAACCATTTAGGGGAAAAGGCATATTAGCACAAGTACATTATATGAGAAGGAAGGAAAGAACCTTTCAGATATTAAAGTTTTGGTGTTTATTTACCAGTCTTTTTTCTCAAATTCAAGCTAACTTTGCTTTGCCTTGCTTGACAGAGAATTGAAGATAAAGAATTGAGGGAACAATTAAGCAAGTTGGACACATTATCTGAGGAACTTATAGATCAAACCGTATGTGCTTTCCTACAGCAAGTTGAAGATGGTACCTGGGAATCAGGAGGGTGGCCGAAGACATTCACTGACTACTCAGTGTCAAAACTTGCTGTTAATACGTACACCAGGCTGATGGCCAAAGAACTCTCTGAGCGGCCAGAAGGTGAGAAGATTTTTGTCAACTGCTACTGCCCAGGATGGGTGAAGACTGCTATGACAGGCTGGGCTGGGAATATATCAGCTGAGGATGCAGCTGACACTGGAGTATGGCTTTCCCTGCTTTCTGACCAAGCAATTACTGGGAAATTTTTTGCAGAGAGACGAGAAATAAACTTCTGAGGCGACTGGCTTCACTACTGCAGATTCTGGGATCCAGCTTCTCCTTCTGAGGTTATATTGTTGAGAAGATTCTGATACCATCATCTATTGTCTCACAGTAATCACTAATGGGAAAAGTGGATACTGTCACCATTGGAGCTGGAATAGAAATTAGGGATCATGCAGCCTTTTCAACCTCCTATACAATGTTCGAGACTAAGATGAATAGTGTGCCATATTCAGAATCTCTTGTAATCCTCTGGAAATGGAAAGTTTGTTTATTATTTCTGATATTAATCTCTCGATATTTGGTAATCACATTGGATTTCGATTAATTTGAAATCGAACCGCATTGGAAGAAGCTCTCAATGCTTGTTTTTTCATTTACAAAACTTAAACTCGAGGAGTTTGTTTGTTGTTGACATCTTTCCCATGCACCAAACAAGTTTGTAGTTTAATGATTAAGGTTCATGAAAAAAATATTTAGAACATTTGATTGTGTACTGAATTTTTTTTTTTATCTGTTTCAAGATTTAAAATTGAAATTAATATAAAAATGATACAAATTAAAAAATTAAAAACCTAGTTTGTTAATTGTTAACTCAATTTTTAAGCTACAATTAAATTAAGGAAAATAGAGGAACTGGGAATAAAACGTTATCATATCCCTCCCCAGCTCCCCCTGCTTTCATTTAGATTTTTTTAAGTATAAGAGTTTTTATTCCTATTTTTATAATAAAATAAGAATTTTTATAATAAAATAATTAATCAAAATAAATAAATAATATTATTATTAAAATAAAAAATTTATCCATTTAAAAAATAATTAATTTAAAATTAAAAAAAAAAAAAGATTATTATTTTTTACGAGAGAGTAAGATTGCAATAAGAGGTTTATCTTAAAAAAAAAAAAAAGAAGCATGGTTTATCGGGCACGGTTGTGTGGTCATATCATGCACTAACTTCCAGCGGATAATACCCAAGGCCACTGAATCAGAAAATGCCACGGTGCAATGACCCAACAAAGGGACTACCGCTCACTGGAGCCGCGACCTTCAACCGCCCTTTCTCCTATAAAACCGGAATCCCTCCAATTTCCAGTTTCGCAACTTCCGTTCCTTAACTAAGATCTCTGATCACACAGCGATGGCGAGCCTGAGAAGAGCCCTCTTCAACGCCCACCAAATCCTAAAGTCCTCTGCTTTATCCGCTCGAACAGAGACCCTTCTAAGGTATCAATCATCTTTTTTCTCGCATTTTCTCCATCTTTTCTTGGATTTTACTTCATCAACTTCGGTTTTCATTTTCCTTAGACCGCAATATGGATGGGTTTCTCGATTTTCTTCCTCTGATATTAGCAGCACTCGATCATTAGACATGGACCTCTCTAATGAAGAAAGCAAAAGGCGTCTATTTAACAGGTGGGTCTTTTTTTTTTGTGGGTTATTGAAATTTAGTTTAAAGATTGCATAATTTTGATGGGTTTCTCTTTGGGTGTCTTTCTGCAGACTGTTGTATAGGAGCAGACAGAGAGGGTTTTTGGAACTGGATTTGGTTCTTGGTAAATGGGTGGAGGAGAATGTCCATTCCATGGATGAAAATGGAATTAAATCCCTTGTTCATGTTCTTGATTTGGTACATCTATCATTCTCCTCTAGTATTTATTTATTTTGCATTGCGTTCCTTCATATTCATGTGTTGTATTATTGTTTCTTAGGTTATGTATCCTTCCTTCTTGAGTTAAGTAACTATTTTGAAGTTTTTATTGCTTTTTTTTTTTTATCAGCGTTGTTGCGTAATTAACATTAAGCATATAGATTATTAATACTGTGGTCAAGCAATATCATGGTTTGTTATCTTGTGTTGAATAGTCTTGAC